CGCGGCGCGTGCTCCGCAGTGATTTGCAGTCCGTGCGGTCCGAATCAATGTTACATGCCGTTGCAAGAAGTGGAATCAGCCACCCATTTTGCACGCAAGAGCCGATTGGATCCGCTCCAAGTGCCGTTTTCGAAGTACCCGTGCGATTGAGCAGGGTGGCCTGGACGCTGCCACCGTGCACTGTGCAAAAATCTGGCTCAAGACGTATTATTGTCACTCGCTCTACGATTTTCGTGACAAACATATACGCACACGCAAAAGAAAACAGAAGCTTAGCGCTTTTTTGATATTACTCAGTGAGTTTTAAAGCAGATTTGATACTGGGTGAGCCGGAAGACATGTAGAGCATATGGATGGCATGGCAGCGCGAGCGTCTGCGAAGTAGAGGTGACGCATTTGTCATTTGTATCTAGAAAGGGTTTGCGCTGACTAAGCTCCACTATAGAGACTTAAAAAGTCAGAAAATAGTTTAGTGCTCTGCAATGCTCTAGATGCTTTTAAGCAGGTGGTTCGATCAGCGCGAACTTTGCTCATCTAAACATAATCTATGATATTGCATTGATGGGTAGAGTTTTCTCGCAATAGATCGAATTTTAGAATGATCGTGAATAGGCAATTTTCTTTATTCAATAAAATACTTTTCTGATTCCATGCACAATGGAAGCATACTTGTTAACCGTGGACTTTGCAGTGGGATATACACCAGTATATGCGTCTAAAACGCTGATCCCAAATCTATGATCTATGATCTATGTTTACTATCTGCTTTGCGACTCTCATGAAGTTATGGACTTTTTCCACATTGATTTCATGAGATCTACGCAGCCAGAATCGCCTGTATCCACGCTTTTTAGAAATGCGTTACTGTACTTGTACATTTTCTTGTAGTGCGTAAGTGCTCAAGCAACATATTGATAAATACTGCGATTGGAATAGCGCAAATTTTGGTAGCAAGAAATGTTCATAACTTTTTCCGGAAGAGCGCACAACATATACTGAAGGCAGATTTGGAATCAGCGCTCAAGGTGCATATAATAGCATACACTTCATTTCAAAAGGTCGCGGCCACCAAGTATCCTTCCCTTGTTAGTACAGCGTACATGGCCTTGAAATAGATAGTTTCTCTTTCTAAAAACTTAGAGTATAACAGATTAGTTGGAGCTCCTACGAAGAAAAAGAAGGAAAAAGTGCTGTTTAGGAAAAGTTACGAATCACTCATAGATACTGCTTGATGTCAGAGAGACGGCTTTAGTCCATAATATCAGTAAAATAAATCTTATTTTATGAGCATCCGAAAATCCATTATCTAAGTTACCGCCAACCTTTACATTTTCGTAGTTCCTGATGAATTAGCTTGATGCAAATCTGCAAGCGGGTAAATTACTAGAAAATATGATAAAAGCAAAATTTTAGATCTATCCTTCTTTTCTAATTTATTTATTTTTAATTTTTTCCTAGAATTTTAAAATGCTCCTATACATATCGAACTTAATGTTTATTGACCAATTACGAATTTTGTTTAGTAGTGACTGTCATATATTATTAACGCTGTTAATCGATTATCAGGTAGTGCTCGATGATCACTTATTAAAATGCATGTTCCGACTGCAAATTTCCTGCTGCAAATACAGATCTTTCTCTCCTTGGCTGGAACCACGGTAAATGCGAAAAAACTGATTTTGCAGGACTATGTCGCACTCCAGCAAACGACGACTTTACTGGCATTTGCAACGATTGTTTGGGTAGAACATCTAGAGCAGTTGAACGTGGTGCATTGCTTCCGGCACCAGGAGAGCGATTGATGTTGTTCGTATCAGGTAGGCTCTGAATTGCTGTTTGCAGATCTCGGTCGTTAGCATTGGGCTGGATAGGCGGTGCACTGAGTTCTGTAGGCTTGATGACTGTAAGTTGTATCCCAGTCTTCTTATTACTTCTATTCAGATCTACGTCCTCGTTGTATGTTGTTTTCGTCAAGTGTTCCTCTCCTCTTTTCCCTTTCCGCCGTTTGATGGAAGAACGTTTTCTCCTCCCAGCTTTGGCATTGGTACTCTCTCCATCTTTTGGCTTCAAATTAATGTATAAAATCAAGCATATAGCAAGCAACACCAAAAATACGGTATTTGCCAGAGCTAGTGATATGATCAAAGCAGCAAAAACGGGGCTGGAAAACAAAATTTGTTTTGTATGCGATTTTTTAGCCACACACCACTCATCTACCTTCGCTGTTCCTGTCTTTCTTTAGTGCTACGTAGGTTATCCGGCTTTTTAACTTCAAGAACATTATTAGGCACAATAGTAGAATGTTGCGCTGAAATTGTTAGTTAAATTTCTATTGATATAAAGAATTGCTTACAAATTGTACCAATTGCGGTCCCATTTTTGTCTTTTGTTGAAAGAAAATATTTAGAGTAACATATTTTAGTTTAAACCACTGCTGTATTTTTTCTGTTATGTTAACTCAGACATCCAATCGGAGCTTCCGCAGAACGTTTGCGAAAGTCTTGCCGGGTCTGCGGAAGTTCCGTAAACGTGCTGCGGTAGTTCCGAAATGAA